TGTTCAAGCAAAAAAAAGTGTTGCTCCATAGAGTTACTTTAGGGGATAGTTGCAGTCTGGTAAAATGATCTCAGGTGAAGAGAATCTTGTGGGATTTGTGATCTTTCAGTGGGCAGCACTGCCTGTTTTTAAGGCTGCTGTTACTAACAAGGGAACGCGTAAGTTGTTGGCTGTTTAGAGATGGGCTCTGTTCCGAAAGTGGTGGAAGCGCTACAGAACAGTGTGTGGTGTGTAGACAGTTGTGGTTGATGGAAGAGGGAAAGCTGTCACGATTTTGTCCTTCAGAGCCAAGAACAGGGCATTGCCACAACTGTTCTCCTGTTATTTTGGGTTTGTATATAAATACATCTGTGTGTGTGTAAGTGCATATATGTATATATGGTGTGAATGTAAAGTAGATTCTGTAGGTTGCTACAGTAGATTCTGCTGCTTCTTCCTTCCAAATCACGTACCTTTTCTGTCCTGAGATCTGTGTATGTGAACGTGTATGCTGCTAGAGAACAGATTGGTTGTAACTATAGACGTTGGAATTATTTTTGTCTTATGGTATTCCATCAGCACTTACTAACTGTCCTGATATATGTGACTGTGAAACTGGACTAGCCTGACATCTCTGAATACCTGAAAACTTTGAATGTACTAGAACAACTAATGTTGTGGATATACAAAATCTGCCTTGCTTTAGAAGTTCCGTGGCATCATTTATTTCTGGAAGTTAAAGAAACAATACTTAAATGCAAGTGTGTTGTTCCTCTGTATATTAAGTATTATCCAAACTAGGAAAATTATTAGTTTTAATTAAAAACATAGAATTATCTAGAGAAAGCAGCTTTGCACAGAAACGTTTGGTACACTTTTATCATTATTCGCAGCTTCAAGAGATTTTAAGTTGTGCAGGTTTTGCAAATTTTCTTGAACTATGGCCCCTAAGTGGGGTAATGAACGCATACTAATTCTTGGAGAAAGTAGCTGAGAGAGAAATTTTGTTGCGTTCAAGTGGATTGTATATGTTCATAGAATCTCAGGGAAGAGAAAAGTAGACTT